GTATGTATGAATCATACCCACGGTCTGATATCCTACGGACAACACTTCTTGCTGTGCTAGTAGTTCTTGTGCTGGTGGTTGTGGCAGTGCTTGTTCTTCTTCTTGGTCTTTTTTGCTGTCACTGCAACTGTCTTCTTATTCTTCTTGTTCTGGTTGTTGCTCTGGTGGTTACTAGGTTGATGAACATTCTTGTTCTAGTAGGTTTCAAAGATCTCTTATGTGTATAACAACTGTTATACTACTAAATACTAGGGCAAAAGTGTAAGAAATTTCTTGTTTGGGGTGGATGACTATACTTGTGTCTCCTGAAAGAAGGACTAGTAGAAGAAGAAGCTCTGCCCTTCTAAAACCAAGTAGCTGAAAGGAAATATCACTGTCTGATTGAGGTCCTCTCCACCATGCACTGGTTTTGCTATTATCCAACAAGTTTTGGTTGAGAAGTTATCCAAGAGATAGACTTGAGGGGACAGATACTTCAACTTGTTGTCCTTGGAATTAAATCTGGTGAGTTCCATCCTCAACACCACTACCTGAGAAGCAATGTACTACTGCTACTACCACCAATTACTGCTCCTGCTGCTGCTGGTGATGAATATAAGAGTGGTCTGAAGCCAAGGAGTTGAAAAAAGAGAGCCCTCAGCAGCTCCTTGTCAAACTGAGAGCCATTGGTACTACTATGAAGAATTTGGTGAATGAAACATTTGTATCTACTACTAGTACTCAGGTGTACATAGCCCACTACTTTAGTACTACTTCGTAGTACCGTACGTACCCGTAGTAGCTTATGGCCGAATTTCGAATTTTGATGTAAGAAACGGGGCACGACAGAAACCTACCGTACGTGCGTTCTTCCTACTCGTACGTACAATACCTGCTCGTACCCGTTGGGCGCTAGAAGTTACTGTACGTTATCTGTCATCACCATCCCATCGTCGCCAGAGAACAAAAGTTCAGGGCACGAAAACAGGCGATCCTAGAACCGGGCCATCACCCATCACATGCGGGACCACCGGCAGCTGCTCCGGCCCAAAACTCTTGCGATGATCGGGATACCCGTTGCCACGGCATCCCTCTGTTTCTGGGTTGCGCGGAGCGCTTCCGAAGGGCCTCCCCCGGTTGCCCCCCGCACCCGTGCCGATGGGACTGCGGCTGCGAGTGCGGCTGCTGGGAAGAGTCCCCGCGGGGACAGCGCCCTGCCGCTGCGAGCCGTTCCCTTCGCTTCGGGGGACGGCGACGGCCCCCGGTCGTTCCGGACGGCCGCCGATGCGTTCTTCCGAGAGCACCAAAGAATCCCCCCGCCCCCGGTGGCACACGCACGGCTGGCAGACCTGTCTCCGTCGGGAGACCCCGGCACGGGCATCTCCGAGGGCAACAGCGAGGGCAACAGCGACAGCCACCGCAAGATTCTCGTCGTTGGCGACGTCCACGGGTGCTACGACGAGCTCCTGGAGCTCCACGCTTCCGCTTTGGCCGAGAACGGCTCGGAGGCCTTTTCCCACGTCCTGCTGGTGGGAGACCTCTGCAACAAGGGGCCCGACTCGGCCGGGGTGATCCGGCACGTCCGGACCACCCCCGGGTGGTACTCGGTGCGCGGGAACCACGACGACGGGGCACTGGCGGCGGCGCTCGGGGACGAACGGCGCAGGCGCAGCGAGACCTATCGGTGGGTTTTCCGAGCGGACGGCGGGGGCGAAACGGAAGCCTTGTCGAGCGGTCTTTCCGACGACGACGTGGAGTGGCTGTCGGAGCTCCCGTACACCATCCGGATTCCCGGGGACCGGCTCGGAGACGCCGAGGACACGCTCGTCGTGCACGCCGGTCTGGTGCCGGGCACCGATCTCGGGGCGCAAACCCCGGGGACCATGACCACGGTCCGCGACCTGCTGGTCCGGTGCAACGGGGACGGAAGCCCCACGCACTACGAATCCGATGCCGGCGGAACGGGCGGAAAGCCGCCCCCCGCCGGGGCCCCCTGCAACACCGCCGTCGCCTGGGCCTCGGCCTGGAGGGGTCCCGAGAAGGTGGTCTTTGGCCACGACGCGAGGCGCAAGCTGCAGCAGCACGGCTCGGCAACGGGGCTGGACACCGGTGCCGTGTACGGGGGAGCCCTGACGGGGATCATCCTGCCCGGGGGCACCCTTGTTTCCGTCCCGTCCAAGGAGTATTCGCCGATACGATAGCACACGCTGTAGATCTAGAATTGCGAACCAAACACCCACCAACCAACAAGAAACATATGAGACAGTGTTTTCCAAAAGCGAATAAATTCAATCCTTAGGTTTTCTGCTCGTACGGAACACAATGTTCGTTCCATGATGCTATCGATTTCCTCGTTCGGCCTGCCACCTATCGTGCCGCATAGAGTGCACGCGCCGCAATCGCCCCTACGACGCAAGCTGGCTCTCCTGTTCTACGCAATCGTCGGGCCCTTCCTCCTCTTTGATGTCGTCGTCGACCTCGCCAATCATCGAAAGATCGGGCTCTTCGCCCAGAATCGAGGCGCAAAAGGCAATGATCTGCTTTCGCCCGATTTCCATTGCGGAACGCGGCCCCATGGAATACAAGACGTCTCCTTCCTCCAGGTTTTGAAAGGGGCAGTTCTCTTCCGTAGCCTTCTCCTTCACAAAGTAGTCCCAGTGGGCACACTGCTCCAGCAGGGCATCCGCGTTGGGAGTATGGGTTTCCGTTCTTGCGCCCGAGCGATACTGCGTGCGTGCCTTGGCACGGGAGGTGCCCTGGGCCGGTGGCTCCTCGGGAATGGCGTCGTCCACCCGGTGCAAGTACTTGTACAGATCTCGCTCCAATATCTTGCGCATCGAGTTGCCCTTCGACTCCCCCTTGCAAAAGATCAACCCGTTGACCAGCATGATGAACCCTCTTTCGATCATCGATCCCTCGTGAACGCCGTGAATCTGCCGGCTGTGGGTTCCTCTGTCGTCGTCGACCGCCCCGTTGAGCACGTAGTGGCGATCCTTGAACTTGGCCGGCAGTCCCTTCATGTTTTCCATGTACTTCGGAATCCGGTTCAATTCGAACCCAAACACGTTTCGAAGGCGCTGGGAAGCCTCGTTGAACGCGGCGGATCCGATGCGATCCGAGCCGCTGATGCCGGCGTCTTTGATGATCTTGAGGCGATCGATGGGCTCCCTCTCGAACGCCCGGAAAAGAATCATCCGGGAAACGGCGGAAAGGGATTTCTCTTGTGCCTCGCGGTCCATTTTGTCAATGTTCTTGCGTTCTCCGGGACGCTCCGGCAGGACGCTCTGAGAGGGCTCGGGCATCAATTGCGAGAAGAGCACCACGTCTTCGCCCGTGCCGCTGTCTTGGGTCCAACCGGCCTCCTCGCCCCCGGAATCGCCCTCGTCGTCGGAAACGGGGTGGTTTCTTTGTTTGCGTTTCGGCATGTTGAAAAAGCTACTTGTGCCGTCTCGGTCTCGATCGGTGTTGCAAGGAACTCTGCGGAGAGGTCGCTGGCTGTTGGTGCGGTGTCGATGGCGAGTCTTCGAGGTCGGGAGCAGCCTCAAACGACAGTGGTGGGGTACGATCCGGGATGTTGTTTGAAACACAGTACAGTACGAAGTGCTTCGTTTTTTCAGCATTAGAGTGAAAATGATTGCGGTGTTGTAGTACGTTGTACGTACGTACCTAGGTGGAGTGGAGTAGCGTAGCGTAGAGTGGACTGCACCGGAGCTTTTCAGGGGTCTGGCTAGAATACCGTACAGTACACCGCAGAAATTGGTACAGGGCACGAGGGTAGTGATTTTTTGCATCGTTCGCGCCATTTTACTCGTGTCTTCGCAGATTCCCGTGTTCCAAACTGTGCATGATGTATTCTTCTTATTTTGAGGGTTACGGAAGGGTTCTGTACAGTGTTGTTCAACTGCTACCGCACGAGCTCGTACCATAAAACTATTACTGTACTTCTATTTATTACTTATGATTATGCCTACTAGCCCATCCCACGTACGAGTACCATACCGTACAGCAGCAAGAGAATTGTAGTGACAGATGTCTTTGACAGCAGAGAGAATTTGGTGCGCATTCGAAAAACGCGCGATGATTCATTCGTTCTTCGTGATGTCTCTGATGTTACGTACCCATCACCAGCACTACGGTACCAAATACGGTACTAGAATCGTGGCGTTGATGCGCGTCCAGTGATGTCACAAAAATGACCAAATGGTTGTTTTCAAAATTGTTGACCCTGCGTTCCTGCTCCATGGCACCGTTAAAAATGCGTGTTTTTTTGAATTCGCCCGGGCTAACCCGTAGTAACAAAAGGCTACGTATTTCTCAGCCAGTGAAATGTCAGTCAGTTCCTCTCCCGAGAAAGGAAATTTTCTGCTTCCTCGTACCGATTACACGTCTGCCGTGTGACCTTGGCTTGTTGCCGAAAATTACAGTACGTACGGTACGCTGACCTCTGTTTTCCTCTTCTCCTACCGACGCGACGAACGCCGTCCTTCTGAACTGTTCAATTCAAGTGTACAGAGAAAACTACTGGTAGTACGACACTCGCAAGGGCAGCTGTATTGAAGCGTTTCAAAAATAATGCAAGAAACGAACCCAACTTATGTACGGGGACCAGTAGAACAATACCACCTTGATCACCATCCGAGACGACGTGTAGTACAATCTTGGCAGACAAGGAGGAACCGAAACCAATACCAAAACACAGAAGCATCGAGAACAGAGGAAGAAAAGAATCACCGATGGTTGCAACCTCAGACGAGGCCGAGAAGGACCTCAACCTGATTTTCGATTACGATGATGACGACGAGAGCTCGATTCAGGAAATGATTCGCTCCACTTCCGGATTGTTCGCCACGCTGGACAAATTGACGAACGAGATCGAAGAAGACCTTGTATCGGCGGAAGGCACACCGTCTGTAAGCGGTAGTAACGAATCGCMACCCTGCAACGATGAAGAAGACGACGATGAGTCGTATTCGGACGACGAGGAAGCAGCATACTCGGACGAGGAGGATCCCGATTCCGGAGAGACAAAACTGTTTTCAATGATGGACGACTTAGTAGCAGAACTCCAAATACAGCTGGAAGAAGATAGCGACGAGGAGGACAACACATCGGTTAACGACGAAGGAAAGGGAAACAAAAACGAAGACCCTGTTCAAAATACTGATCAAGCATGTAGAGCGGAGACACCGGAGGACGTAGAGAAAGAAAATCACCGAGTAGAATCACAGTACCAGCTTCGTCAGAGTGTCAATATATTGCTTGAACAAGTTATAGAAATGAAAATATTGTTCAACCTGGACCAGACGAACCATGTGAGGAACAAAAATCACGATAAGATTAGTGCCAACATCCAGAAAAAGATAGAGCAAGGAGAGTACGATGCAGATCGATTGGAACATCTCATGGGCGCAATCTCTAGCTATGCAAACATGAATTCGAGGAAATCACGCAACTACGTAAAGACCAAAAAGAAAAAACGAAAGAAAAGGACAAACAAACACAAGCAGAGGAAGCCCACCGCTTCCGTACAAACGACGCAATCGCTACATATTCTTCACGACTCTCTCTTGGCTTTGGAAGAGAAGTTTGCACGAGAAGACCAACCACGGCACTAGATAATGCACCGCGTGGACGGACCTACCGTTCACGAAGAGAATCAGTGATCCTGTATGTTGAATTATAAAAGCGAATTGTCGCAGTGAAATCCTCTTACGATATCTATTCTGGGTGAAAGACACTCAACTGCTCCGGGGAAGCTAGACACCGGAGCAGGAGATCGTATTTTCGTTGTCTGCAACTTCTCCTGTGTTGAGATTGAATCCAACAAAGCTTGAATTGTGACCATTAAATTCCACTAGATAGAAGTAAGAAAGTTGTAATATCCTATTGTTTCGTTCCAATTCAAAGTGGGTGCTGATCTACTTCAAACGTTTTCTTCGCCACTTGTATTGAGCCGGTCGACCATCTTCGCTGGTCTTTATTTTGCGTTTCCGCCCCTTTCCGGCTACCAGTTTTTCTGTGATCAAGTGGGCTTCCGCTTTCTGCATGTTTTCCGCTCGTTCCCTTCGTGCTTCCATCTCCCTGTATGCACCAGCCCTTGCCTTGGCAAGTTTCTTGGCCTGCTTTCGTTCTGCCTTCTTCATCTTAATCAATTGTTCGACGGTAAATTTTGGTTTCGTTTCGTTGTAGTCATCGTCTATATCATCGTCATCGTTCACGCCCATTCGTTCCTTCGCAAGTTTTTCGATTTCACTCTTGCGCAACCTGTTAAAGGTCCTTCCCGCGAATTCTGGAATTGTCCCAAAGTGGTCTGCGACATCGAATTCTTTGGCTGCCTTGCCGCTTTCGACAAAAACCGTGTGGCTCCTCTTTGCCTTTACAGAATCGGCACTGTCCGAATTCAACAAATGAAGAGATGCCTGTAGTTTTTCTGCTTTTTTCAAATCTTTTTGCTTCTGCATCCGCACATAGCTCAGGTCTTGGTCCTTCATGACTTTTACCAGGTCGGGCGACAGTTCTCTGTAGTCGTCGGTGGATCGGTGTTTCCCGTTTTCCACCTTTGAGTTGTGCATAGCAAAGTAAAATTCGTCCGGGTTTTTCATCGAAGCCTTTTGCTTCATCGCCTTGATTCGGTCTTCCTTTCGATGATAGTCAATGGCACGCTGTTTATAGTCCTTTTTCTTTTCTAGAATACCGAGGTGCTGCCTATCTACGGGTTGCGATCGCTCTTTGTGAGCGATCCGCTTTACGGCGTTTCGAAGAGACGACATGGTGGCGTGATTTTCTTTTTTCGTTTGCCAATGCCGCTACTGCACTACGAAGACCCCAGTCGGTTCGATCGTTGGTTTAGATTTGCCTTGTCGAGTACAATGGTGTCCGAACGGCACTATACAATACTCAGTTGAAATAGATGATTTACTAGCAGTTTGTGCTACTGTTTGATCTATATTGATAGAGCAAATAGCATACAATCATGGGATTACAAGATTGTGGTGATACTTGTCGTCGTTCTGTCGTCTCATCAGTTGAAAAAGCGGTTTCATTACTTTCTCGTAGACACTTACGCAGAAATGGATGAGTACTGTACCCAAAATGCGTAAATAAGAATCAATACAGAAGAACAACGTTTCACGATTGGTGGACGCCATCATCGTCCCCAAAATACGGTAGGACAGACAGCTGAATCAAACGAGTCGAATATTCTTCGAGGAACATTTTTTTCTGGAAAAACAGAAAACGCTGCTTTCGCGCCAAAAACTATGAAATCACGCGCACCATTCCCCTTCGACATTGGCATCCATGCATGGAAGCAATTTCAGTGTGTCACTCATTATGTCACAACATGCTCGTAGCCGTGCCGTAAAACTCCCGTAGGTACCGTACGAAAAGAATCCATATTCGTACCTCAGCCTCTCAACGGTACGTAGCTTCATGAAGAAATCCATCGAAAGACGACTACAGCACAGCAAGCGGACACATTTCCAAACTTGACAAAAAGCGACAGAGAGATTGTTCAGTGGCAATATTCACTATCAATCATGTCAGGAGTTGCCGGACCCAAGGTCCTACACGTTGCGGGCTACTCGTCATGTACGTTTCTCCCATCTTTGTATTACGATAGTGATTAATCTTTGTCTTCGTATTTTGTTGATTCGATTTAACTGAGTCTAACATTTAGATGCATTTTGTTTGATTGACTGTTCTCGATCCTCGGCAAACGACTCCCTCGAAGGCGGCTTTTACACCCGCATAACGAAATGTTTATCTAGTATGTCCATTCTCTTTCCCAATCGACTGAGAGTCGTCGAACACGAATTTGAGGACCGTTCCAAGTTTCGTGAGTGGCTTGTCGATGATGGTTTTCGAAGCAACTTCATGGAAACTGACGGGAAGGGGCATGCGACGAGCCCTCTTGTCTGGATCTCGAAAACTCAATCCGAAGGCGGCCCGGATCCTGCCGACATTGAGAAGTATTTAGGCGGACACGATGCAACCCTTGATTGGTGTCGAGAATTCATGCAACCAGCGGAGATGAGAAATGTGAAAGCCGAACCAGTAATGGTAGATGATGGCCACAGTGCCGATCATGGTTACGACTACGACCTCATTGTAATTGGTGGTGGCTCGGGTGGAATGGCAGCCGCTAAGGAAGCTGCACTTCACGGAGCCAAGGTCGCGCTGTGCGATTTTGTGAAACCTTCGCCGCAGGGAACTACATGGGGACTAGGAGGAACCTGTGTCAATGTGGGTTGCATTCCGAAAAAACTATTTCATATTGGAGCTACTTTGAGAGAATCTGTCCATGCTGACGCCAACTTTTTTGGGATTTCATCGGTTGGGGCAAAGCCAGATGATATGATGGGCCAGTTACCTGCTATTGAAACTGAGACTCACTGGGATGTTGCCAAAAGCAATATTCAAAATTACATTCGTGGTTTGAATTTCAAGTACAGAGTACGTCTTCGAGAAAAAAGTGTGAACTATCTGAACAAGCTGGCTACGTTCAAAGATGCTCATACTGTCGAGGTGAAGGACAAAAAGGGGGTAGTCAGTGAGATCACCGCTTCGCGTTTCTTGGTGGCAGTTGGTGGACGACCCACGCCGTTGGATTGCGAAGGCGGCGACTTGGCAATTTCCAGCGATGATGTTTTCTTCTTGAATAAAGATCCAGGTAAAACCTTGTGTGTTGGTGCTTCCTACATTAGTTTGGAGTGTGCCGGATTCCTAGCCGGACTCGGAAAGGACGTAACGTGCGCTGTTCGTAGCATCCTTCTTCGGGGATTTGATCGTGAGTGCTCGGAGCGCATCGGGAACTACATGAAAGCCCACGGAGTCAATTTCAAAATGCAAGTAACTCCAAAGAAGCTCGAGAAGGTCGACGGTGATCGCATCAAGGTGACCTTTTCCGATGGAACAGATGATGTTTACGACACGGTGTTGGCAGCAGTTGGTAGAACTGCCGATACGGCAAAACTCGGTCTCGAAGCCGTTAATGTCGAAACTAATCCAAAGAATCGCAAAATTGTGACCAAGCTAGAACAATCTTCATGTCCCAACATTTATGCTGTCGGGGATGTGATGGACGGTTGCCCCGAGCTTACACCCGTCGCTATTCAGGCAGGTGTTATCCTAGCTCGACGACTCTTTGCTGGTTCAAAAGAAGCGATGGACTATATTAATGTCTGTACCACAGTTTTTACACCGATTGAATATTCGTGCGTCGGTCTATCCGAAGAAGACGCAATTGAAAAGTTCGGAGAGGATAGGATCGAAGTCTTCCATAGGGAATTTGTACCACTTGAATGGTCTCTTTCGCAAGCGCGACACGACTCCAATTCCTTTACAAAGATTGTAGTCGACAAACAAGACGAAGAAAGAGTAGTTGGAATCCATTATGTTGGTCCTAATGCCGGTGAAGTTATGCAGGTGAGTCAGAGGAAATGATCTTGGAAAGTGTACCGTGCAAACTTTTTTGTTTTCTCGTCTTAGTCTTACATTCGCAACACACTCATCTTTTCTGCATTTTGAATTTTCCAATATCTTTTCCATCATTTTCAAGGGTTTTGGTGTCTCGATGAAGAATCGGTTGACGTACAGTCAACTCGTTGAAACTGTTGGAATTCATCCAACGTCAGCGGAAGAAATTGTAACGCTATCCATCACCAAGAGCAGCGGCGAAGATGCCGCTGCTGGTGGGTGCTGAGGTTAAGCCCTTCGAGGAAAACTTCCTTGAAGGGCTTCATTGGAGCAATCCAATGATACTTTCTCTCATGTCCACTTGAATTGAGAAATATCCATGCACGGTAGAACCAATGTAACTTCGACTTGAAGTCCGAACATGAATGACAGCTTGAGCAACTTAAAGGTTCGCTTTTCGTGCTTCACAGCTTGAAAATTGTTCGGATTCGACTTACACAGTTTCTAATCTATGTATCAGTGACAAAATTACAACATAACTCTTCTAATAGAGAAGAGAACATAAATATAATTATATTATCGCAAATGAAGATGCATTTTTCTTGGTTTGTAATCCAGATTCTTCATCGAAAAAAAAATCCAACCATCTCAGTTCCCGAGGTTCAATATTCTGGCTTGATGCTTCTCTTCTCGCATGATCTTGTTTCATCCATTTTCTGTGGTGTTGACAGTACTCCGTAAAGATTTTTCGCATTGAATCAGACTCGTCCAATGATATCAGTCTGGATCCTGGCAGATCGAAATCCAAAGGCCCTTTTGAATCTTCAGCAGGGTTTATCTCTTTTCTACGAGAATTCTTCGTAACCTCGAAACTCGTTGTCATGTACCAGCGGCGAGAGAGAAATTCGATTCGCTCGTCCCGCACCTCCCATCCCATTTCTTGCAACCTGTCGTATAACAAAATCAAATTTCGCGGTTTCGAGTTTGTTGCCTGTAGCACAAGTCTTTTGCACCCCACCCTGTCTAGATCGGTAGATCCATCCTCCTTGCATGAAGTTTGTTCGTCATCCAGTATTTCCAGCATGGTATTCACACCCATTCCAGCGATGCAAATCACGTCAGCCTCCCCGCCCTCCAAAGCTTGCAAGCCATTTCCCAATCGGAATTCGATAGGAAACTTTGTGGTATTTTCCCAGTAATTGTCTCCAATGCTCATTGTTTTATTTTGAATTTTTCCTAGCATCGCCAAGGCGCCATACGTTAGCGCTTGATCCGAAATATCCACGCCAACAACCTTTCGATAGTCTCCTTTCAGTGCTAACCCCATTGCGAGAAGACCATGATCCGTACCAATATCAGCGACACTTTCCATCCTACTTGACGATGATTGTGAGGCACTGTCGACAGTCGCTTCGTCGGTGGCCAATGTCAGAAGGTGAGACAACCTTTTCCACGTCTTGCCCTGTCGAAAAAGATAGGCCGAGACTGATTTGAAAAAAAAATCATCATCATCCTCGCAATTACTGTCTTTTGTTGTAAACGACGAAGAAGCACATCGGAGAGTATTCAATCTATCCTTGTTTTCCCTCAGGCCACAGTAAAAGCTTGTAGAACGATAATGTCTACCTGCGGGACAGAATGCATGGCACCTTCCAATCCTCCGAAAGAAAAATAGATTCATTAATACGGTGAGACATGCAAGGAGGGAAAATGAGTATTTTTGCATGGTTCGATCTGCAACAGGGTCAATTGCCCAGTTTGAGTCTGTGGTTGTTGATTTCAGAGTCGACAGCTCCTCATACAATAATCTTTGTTCACCTCCAACCAAATTTTAGAAATAATAGTAACCAAACGAAACTTGAAATTCTTCACAAACTCGTATCGTAAAGTGCCGTGCGTTCCGTACTGGTACCATACTCGTACGTTGACCCGACCAAAGGGACTCCATCCGAAGTCCGAAGGAAAGTTTGGCACGTACGGTACGTACGGTTTTAAAAACTGACGGCGCAAAGGGCAGAGCTAGTAAAAAATGAAATTTTCTCAATTTACTACTACTAACAATTTTGTTAACCTTCTCTGGTGGTGTAACTAGGAACCACCGGCTCTTCAGTGTGTTACTACTACTACTACTACTACTACTACTACTACTACTAGTGTTTGCGGTGTGACAGTTGGCATAGAGGAAGAAGAATGAGAACAAGAAGAACATGACGACGAAGGAGGGACAGCCAATCAGCAGCATCAGTTATTGTCTGCCTGAGGACATTGCCAACAACAAAGTTGGCCTTACCCATAGGCTGGTGTCCCTCAGGGAAAATGATTTCCATAGAATAGTAGAACAGTTGTTGAATTCTTGTGGATGCAAGAGTGATTGCTTCTTGCTCCTCTGGAGCTGACAGCGAGTATACAGATAATGTGAACAGAAGCAACTTTGTCTCCTATTGGTAGCCTTTTTGTCTCTGTTTCCAACAATTGTCTCTGTTTCCAACAATTGCACTAATGATTAGAACGACGTGTTACGAGAACAACGAGGGCAGTAGCAGTTCCAGGCCAAGAACAGATGATTTTTAATCACACCAAAAACTACAGCTTTTCAAAGGACTGGTCAAAGTGGTCGATACAACAGGTGTGCATTGCACTGTCGAGGATGGCATGGACCATGCTCGTACTATGCAAGAGAAGCGGGGTATAGATGAAAACATCAAACGAGTGATGGAGCACAGAGCAAATTCGACACGTGACGAACAATCCGCACCAACGATTATCGTCCGCAAAAGCCAAAACAAATACCACGAAAAGGAAAGCAATGGAATTTTTGCCGAGAAACATGCGGTTCCTCATTGCGTTACAGCAGAACAAAACAAAGATCCTATCTGCCATTCCCTGAAACTCAGCAACTGGGCGTGTCCATAACAGTAGTTTCGATTTATTCACATAGTGTATGCGGCGAGTTGCAGAGCGCCTACTCCCACAGACTGCCGTCCTCGATCTTGGACTTCATCTGCGCGTCGCGTCGTTTCTTGGTCCTCCGATCGAAGCGGGGCTCGTAGTCGTTTTCGTCGTACTTCATGTCACTGGTTGCGATCGTTTCGCTGTCCAGCTTCTTGCCCATGACGCTCCTGGCGATGGGCAGCTGCCAGCCGTACGCAAAGACCGTGCTGGTGCCAACCCGACCGGCCCTGGCGGTCCTTCCCACCCTGCGGATGTACTCGGCGGGGTCCTTGGGAAAATCGAAGACGACGCAGTGGTTGACAGGGGCCTCGTCGAAGTCTACTCCGCGAGCGGCCCGGTCCGTGCTATGGAGTTCGGAATCGTCGTACATTCGAGAGCAGTGCAAGACAAACAAACGTCGGAGACAAAACAAAAAAATGTGTGAGTGTTGCGGTCGGGAGGGGGGGAGGAGAGAGAATCGGCAGAGCCGGGGCGCAAACCCGCGGGACTCACCAAATCAGGACGTAGTCCACCTCTTCGTTCCTGTCGTTGTTTCGGCCCCTGGCAAAGACCCTCAGGTTGGCGTTCCGGGCCTCCGGCGTCATGGCGCTGTGGTAGGCCAGTACCTCGAACACCCGGCCGCGCCGGTCCTTTCGGTTCAGCAGGTTTTCGACGCTGCGACAGGATTCGACCGTGTTGCAAAAGACGAGGGTCCTCCTGCAGCGGTTCTGCCGTAGGGCCTTCAGCAGGGCCTTGGCCTTGAGGTCGAAGCAGAGGTCCTCGTTCCGGTTCGAGGAGGAGGGAACGGAGACGTCCACCAGGTTTTCCTTGAGCGAGGGCGCCGGCCGGTGCAGGCCGGGGCCCTTCACCTTGACCACCCCCGGGAATTCCGTGGTGATGGTCTCGACGATCGAGTCCGGGAGGGTCGCGGTGACAAAGACGAACTGCGTCTTATCCAGGAGCGGCGCGGCGGCCCCGACGGTCCGGAGCTGCGGCCCAAAGGTCTCGTCGATCATGAGGACGTCGACCTCGTCCAGCACGATGGAGCGGACGTGCGAGAGGTCGAGGCCGGAGTTCCGGGTGCGGAGGATCGTGGAGATGCGCCCGGGCGTCCCGATGAGGACGTCCGCGGGCTTGCGCTGGATCATGCGGATCTGGTCGCGGATGGTGGTGGTCTGCTTTCCGTTGGCCGTGACCACCATGGTGTGGAAGGGGGTCCCGGCCCTCGAGATCTTGAAGCAGACGTCCCGGATCTGGTCCGCCAGCTCGGCGGTCGGGGCGAGGACCAGGACCCGGGGGGACCCGTTGGCCCCGACCGGGGGGCTCTGGAGGGCCCGCAGCAGGCACGGGATCAGGTAGGCGCAGGTCTTTCCCGATCCCGTCTGGTCGGCCACGATTGTGTGGCTCCCGCCGAGGATCTTCGGCCACGCGAGAGACTGGATCCGCGACGGCCGGGTGATCCCCGCCCCGCGGCAGAGCGCCTCGTGGAGCTCTTGGCTCGCGTCGTTGTCGCCGTCGGCGCCGCCCTCCGCGTAAAAGGTTGGATCGGAGAGGGGCTTCTTGCTGAAAAAGTGGGCGTTCGTGTCGGTGATCTCGGCCGTCTCCTCCGGCTGCGCCGGTGGACGGCTTGCGTTCCGGCGGTCCCCGCCGTATCGGCTGCCGCTGCCGCTTCCCCCTCTCTGCCTCGGACCCTGGGACCGGCCTCTCGGTCCGTTTCTTCCTCCGTAGCCCCGGGACGCATCCCTTGATCCACCCCTCCCGCGCCCTTGCGTGGGCCTCGACCAGTCCTTGTCGTAGTCCTCGTTCTCGTCGTTGTTCGAGCCGTAGCCCGACCGGCCCCTCGGTCCGCCGGACCTTCCCCGCCGCGGGGCACCCCGTCCCTCCCGGTCGGAGCCTTCGTAGCCGTAGCCGTCGTCGTAGGAATCGTAGCGGCCGCCGCCGTAGTCCCTCCTCCTCGCCGGCCTCGACGATACCGGGAGCCTCCCCGGTGTCGACACGAGGCGGATCGCGAAGCCGTTCGCGGTCCGGGGCCCACAAACCACGGAAAGGACCGCCAGCCCGGCGGCGAGCGCCAGGCCCCGGCGGGCCCCCAGTGGACGGGGGCTTCTCGCGGTGGTGGCCGGGGCTGCGGCCGTACGAGTTCGCCGGGGATTCATTCGTGCGGTTTGTGTATGGGTGTGTTGGGAGGGGGGGGATTCGTTTGGGGCAGACAACAAGGACGTGCAAGTCTCTGTCGTGCCGTGGGCTTCTGTTGGGTGGTGAGCGATTCGTTGGGGGTGGTGGTGCGGCGACGCACGGTGTTTTTTTTCTATTCTGCAGGACACAAAAGTTTCGATTTCGACGATTTTGATGGGTCGGGACCGTGATATTGATTTTGATTTGAAACGAATGAGTGATGTTTCTTCGTTGTCGGTAGCTCTGAGCAGGTAGGTATGCAGTGGAGGTTTCCGTTTTTGTACGTACGCGTACGAACATTGTACCTACAGTACTACGAGTAAGTCGTCAGCCCTCCCCCTCCCGACCTGTTTCGAATTTGGGTGGAGGGCGTGAACGAGCGTGTTTCTTGTGTCCTGTACCGTACCGTACCGTACGTGAGCTGTTATCGAAGTCGTAGTAGCACAAGTACGTACGAGTTAGTAGCACTCGTACTCACAGTTCGTACCTTGTTCGTACACTTTTAGTCGATCTAGTCGAGTGTTTTCTCGCAGGAGGACGGTTGAGAGGAAAAACGTGGGGGGCTCACCGCTCCGCTCCCCCAAACTCCAGTGGCCAATCATCGGTCATCGATCTGTCCAAACCATCGCAAAAAAACCAAGCCTGACGGAGGCGTTCTTTTTTCACTGGGAGTTCATCCAGAGCAGGTTCAGTTGATTCATGGTAGGTTCRTTCATGTGTGTCTTCTTGGCACGCCTCCTCCCAAAAACTGCATCCGCACAAACCCCCCGCAAAAAAAAAATACGGGCCCATAGTAGTAGTAGTAGTAGCAGTAGTAGCTTTGCTATCTGCATACCGCAAACCAAATAGCAAGACAACACCCGAAACCACTTTGTTCCGTTCCGAGACCCTACCACCCCAACCCACCCCGAACAGTTTCCATAGAGGAGTTGCTGCGTTTCCACACCGGCGGCGGAACACACACCAGATCCACCACGGGCCGCCAATTGCCGATCCGCAGCCCCGACGATGGTACCCTGGAGTCCTCCCCAGGCAACAACCAGCAACGGGCCGAACCAAAAGAAGAACATTCGTGCCGGGAGATGTTTGCCATCGGTTGCCACTAGCAGCAGTGTAAACATCGGCATCGGCCACGACCAAAAGAACGGCAAGCACAACGGCAACCACAAGCAAAACCACCATCCGAACTACCACAGCGGAAGCATGGGCTCGAACCACGGACCCGGTCCGTTCCGCCCGGCCCACAACCGCCCTCTCGCGGGAGGCCTCCACGCCGGCGGCCTCCCACCGCCCCCCGCCGAAGACCCGGACGAGGACCGGTGCGCCCACTGCCACTCGGCAACGATAATCACCGATTGGAAGCAGGGAGATCGGGTCTGCACCACCTGCGGGATCGTCGCGGAGGAAAAACTGATGGACGACCGGCCGGAGTGGAAGAACTTTAGCGAGGCCGAGGACCTCGTCCGGGGACTTCCCTCGGGCGCCAGGAGCGGACTCGTTCCGGTAGACGAGACCCGCTACGTCGGCGGCCTGCAGCCCACGGTGCTGTCCAGGGACGCCTTTGGGGCCAACACGGGCGGATTCAAGATGGCGAGGATCCGGAGGCAGCTCAAGACGACCGGCAGGAGGGTCGACCACTGCATGGAAAAGGCCCACAAGCGGGCGCTCCAGGACGCGAGGCTGGAGCGGAGGGTCCGCCTCAAGCGGGAAAAGGAGCGCAAGGCTTCCGGGGGGGCCCGTGGAGAAGAGGCCGACGACGCAGGCTGCGAAATCCACCGGGAGGCCCGGCCCGAGTTCGACCTGGTGGTCCTGCAGGAAGAGGAGGACATGAACCGGCTGCAGGCGGCAATCTACGCGGACAAGTGGTCCCTCGACCGGGCCGTCTTTCTGTGGGGCGACTCCGAGGACCAGGGGCACCGGGAAGCGGCGATGCGCGACCTGGAGGCGGGCGAGAGCCGCGAGGACCTGCTCTCCCGCATGGACAAGGGTCTGAGAGAGGCCTCGAAAGACCTGCACGCTTCCTACGCCATGGTCATGCAGGCCGCGAGGACGCTTGGCCTGCCGACCCGCGTCGCGGACGAGTCCGTCCACCGCCTGGTCCGGTACGCCTCCCGGAGGGACGGCTTCCTCGTCAAGGGGGTATCGAGCCGCCTCCCCAAGGCTACGGGGAAGGAGGACAAGGAGGAGCGAAAGCTCGCCGCGGCGAGGCTGAGGGAATACAACAAGGCGAAACAGATCAGCGCGCTGGGGGCCTCCGTGCTCTTTCTGACCGCCAGGAGCCTCGGGTGGACCCGGACCGTGCTGGAAATATGCGATTGCTTCCGTCCGTCCCTGGAGCACTCGGGCGAACGGATCTCCATCAAGGCAAAGCACTGCTTCCGCGCCATGAACGAGATCAAGACGTACTTCCCCGAGTACACGCGCAAGCCGGTAGCGCCCTCCGACGAAGACCCCCGGTCCGCGGGAGGCGGCGGCGAAGGCGCAAGCGAGACCGCCTCGGTCTCGAACTTTGCCGACCACTTCGTACGGAACCTCCAGCTCCCGCCGGTGGCGGAGGCCTCCGTACGTGCCCTGCTAGTGCACTGCCGGCACGAACAGGTGCAGCTCGGCCGCAACAGCGGCGTCAAGCTGGCGACGCTGTGCGCGTCGGTGGTCTACTTTGTGTGCACGGCGGGGGGGACCATGCAGAGGATAGCGCAGCAACAAGTCCGCGAGAACGCGGCCGGCGTTTCCAACCCGGGGCCGCCGTCCGCCTCCACAACGGAACCACCGGGCTCTGCGAAAAAGGACGCCACACGCGTCCAGCGCGAGCCTTCCGCGGCAAGGGTGAAGCCCGAAAAAGCCGATGGCTCGAACGCACGGACCGATCCGGGAACCACAACCACCGCGCCGGCAAGAGATTCCGCCACAAGCAGCAACAGCGACAGCGACGAGGACAGCACGGCCGACAACAACAGCAGCAACAATAACAACAACAACAACAACAACAGCAACAACGACGACGATGACGATGACGACCAGCCGTTCGACGTCTTTACCCACGCCCCCATCCCCGTGGAGGACCACCGGGCCGAAACGCTGGAGTACGAGATGAGGCGTATGTGGGACGCTTGGGCGGAACAAATGCCGTGGTCTCGCTCGCTGCTCGAAATCGAGCAGGCCTGCGGCGTCACGGCCGGTGCCGTTCGGAACCTGTACAAATCGGATCTATACCCCCGGAGGGGATCGCTCCTGGAGGTGCTGAACGCCGCCGTCCTCAAGCCCCCAGAGACCGATTCGTCGACGGCGGCTGCGGCGTCGTTCGCCCATGGTTCGGACGCGTCCCTCCACCAAACACCGATGGCGTCTATTTTGCTGGCACACATATCGACAGCGGGGGCGTTGATGAGCAACAAGTGAATGGGCGGGGCTTTCGGAGCAGACTTTTCAGAAGCAGTTCGTGATAGAGATTGAAATATAAATTGTACCATACGGTAGTATTATGATAATATTACGATTCAAATTACAAGTACTGTAATGTAGACCTACCCGGGGCTGTTCCTAGTCGGTTTAGAAGCAAGGAAACGAGTCTGGTGTCGTCATGCATTAGGTATTTTACTCCCTAGTCGTTTTACAAAAACAAAAACGCCATTTATTTTTTTTCAAATCAGCCAAGCAGCCCAAAGGTTGATCAAAATTCTTCAACCACATAAAACGATTTGTTCTCTAAGTTTCTGTCACAGAAATGATACCCAACCGATAAGTGCATACAACCAGTAGTAGTTAGTCCAACATGAATTGCAATTCCATTCAAGAACAAGATTCAAGAAGCTGCTCCTTTATCCAGTATCTGCAGGCAATGCGCAGTAAACCGTCGTTGATGCTTTCTGCTACTAAGAATGATGGATATCCTACTACTACTACTCAATCAAATGGCGAAACATGACTTGAACATCTCATAGCAAGGTTTCAGGGAGGTAGTGAGCTACACGGTGACTGCTTGAACCACACCACGAGCACCCAAGAATACGTCTTGTATGTACGGTACAGCACTAAGTACGTACTTCTACTAAGCTAAGTGTGTTAGTACGAATCAACCCTACGAAGCACACCAGCATTTTTCTGTGACAGGAAACTTTGAAAAAATGGCAATTAGATTACAAGTTCGGAAGCACGACGATGCTCTTGCTTCATTACAGTAGCACCTACGACCAGGTCCAATGTCAACGAACGCAGAACCCGAGATGAAGTATACCAGTGGCGAGAAAAACTGGTACACAAATCTAGCACTGTTTGGGGATTCAAGTTCGGCTCTTTTCTTGAGTTTCGGACTCCTCGTTCTGTCCTTTTTCATTTCCTTGTATATGGATGGAAATCTCCAATCGGTATCTTGGGAGCTCTCTTCGACCGAGAGAGCCTATCGGAAACTCGGACCTATACCGAACATCGCACCGCCCAGAATTTTCCATGTCAACGACGAGCTTGGCGACAAAAATCTTGTGTCGGAGGAGATGCAGGAAGCCTTCGACAGAGACGGTGTCATTGCTGTCAGAGGCCTCTTAGATCCGGCATTGCTTAGTGCTCTGGACGACGCAACACAAATGATTGTTTCTCGGCAGAAAGAAAAAGACAAAGCGAAAAGCAAAACGAAACCAAAAGTCTTGACGGGACGCAAGAAAGCTCCGAAACAATTCTTTACGGTGAACCAGGGCACTATTTTCTCATCGGTGGATGGTGGCAACTCTACTTCCGTAGACTCTCCGTTTGTAAAAGTTGCAATGACGTCAAAAATCCCGCAGGTCATAGCCGGCCTGATTGGTTTCGATTGCGAAACTTGCGAACATGCAAACAAAACACTAAGAATATTGAGAGACATTTTCCTCGCCAAGGACGAGGAAGAATACGTCTGTGGGTGGCATGTAGATGATGTTGGATTTTGGCCTGCGATAGTGGAAGAACTTGGCGAGCCCGTTGGAGTCAATGCCTGGATAGCTCTGGACGACATGCCCACCGAAATTGGTGGCGGTTTTGCTCTCGCTGTCGGATCCCATTCATCACCATGGAAAGAAGAGGCCTACCGCTCGATAGGTTCAACCCATAGCTTTCCCAAAGCTGGTTTCAATTCATCCAGAGACATACTGCAGAATCGTCCAGGAAACGGAACGTGCAATATAGAACACACTGCTCCCCATCTACATCGAAGAATGGAGGAGACTAAGAGAGTATACAACATCAAAGGTGAGTACAGTCTCGTGTTGGTTATCGGTTATATCGCTTTTCTGGAGCGATTTTATGGTTCTGGATACTTTTCAGTAAATACGTGACAAGCAAACTATGAAACCATTGACTAACAACACCTTTATTTGACGAACCTTGTGTGACTATCGTATAGCTGGAGACATAATATTCCATACTCGGTGGCTTTTTCACAAAACAATTCCATTCAGCAGAGACGTAGTTTCGAAACGAGCTGCCAAAAACGAAGAGCCTATCGTGTATCGACGTTATTCGATTCGCTATGGACCGGGCACCTCTATCATTCCACCTGGCTACGGCACCGAACCTAGTGTTATTTCGGAAGAGAAAAATGGTGGACGAAGTGCAGATCATGTGAGCGAACACGATGCCGCGTGGTATCCACGGTAAGTCTAAAAACATTCTCGATTTCTGCATAGGTTTTGTTTCTTCAAGCTTTGGCACTCGGCTTACCTTAATCCGCAACACTATTGGTTTTCTCGAAAAGCGTATGGCCATCTATAATCGATAACGAAATTGAAGAAATGCAACTGCTCGCGAAGGATAGACTTCCAAAAGCGTTACAAAAGAGTGACCAGAGGCGAAAAGTGATTCGACCCAGAGTCAAACGACAGTATTAAATAGAATTGGCCGACTTGAAAATGTTAACGTGCAGGTCAGATAAAGAAAAACATTGATTTATTTTTACAATTCAATGGCCGAGTTTATGATCCCGCTAGTCTTGCGATCATTTGTTCCGCATCGAGTTGGATTTGAGGATCGTTACACCTTGCCTTGACATCCATAATTCGACGTCCATCTTTCATTCTTACCGCTTCTTCGAGCGCCTTCTTCCACATGCCCCCTTCTCCGTAAAGACCGAATCTCTCATCCGGCACTGTAATTCTTTCTATGTATCGCAAAATGTCACCAGGCGGTTGGCGTCCCTTTATCGCAGCCCTCGCAAACGGCGTAAACCCAATTGGCGACTTTGTTCGAGAATTGGCCAAGTGAAGAAGATTCTTCCACTGTTTTGTCTCTGAAAAGGCTCTGACTTTCGTATGCCATAACATCTTCTCTGGTACTCGAAACTTCTTCGCTACTTTGTCGGCATCATTTAGCAGTCGGTTCTTGTCCCTTTCGTTTTTACCAGCAAAGCGTAAAATGGAATAAATCGTTGAAACTACAGATGATGATTCAGGTGCAACTTCAGATGCGCTGTATTTTGTTCGGAGAATGTCTTGATCTTTCAGCAACTCGATGTACTCGTCAGTGCATGTCTTGTGAAAAGAGGTGTCTTTTCCCATGGAAAGAATCTTTGATGCTTCGGAAAGAATTGCTTGCTTTCCGCGTGATTCAGTCTTACCATCAAGTGCTCGCCTAGCTAGTGTCATCCCTGCATCTACGAATTTTTGTCGTCTTATTTGAAGGCTGATTTCGTTCTTGACATCAGGCATGGTCCCAGTATACTTTCTTATCGTATTATAAGATTCTTGAGAGAACTTTGTCACCACAGATGTCAGAAAATTCTTGTTACCTTGTACAGGGTCTTGCACCTCAGACATGCAGTGCTTTCTGTACTCCATGGTAGCGTAAAAGATGAAATCGCTGTCTCTGGCAGAAGTCGCAACAGCTACAGCATCTGCATATGAACCAATCGAGATTAATGCAGGGACTTTGTCTACAACGCTAGTCTCCAATAGCAGTAGAAGCGAGGCAACCCCCGGCCGTCCAGCCTTGATGGACGCCATCGCGACAGTAGCGTATCCTCCTCGATTGATGATTGATGAAGTGTATTTAGACGCGCTTGCTGACCCATATTTATCTTCTGTGATAATTCGGATAGCACCTTCTGCAACATCCGCATCTGAGCGATCCTTCGACGCGATGACAAATGCAGCAGCCTTTGCGGCACGTGCATACAACTGTACTGATTTTGGTAGGAATAGATATTTGCTGATGGAAGCTCCCAGTGCTGGCTTCTTCACGGCAATCAAACGGGCAATTACACCAACTGGTGTGATAGCATCATACTGAGCAGAAGTAAGAACAATTCCCACAGAAGGATTTCGAAGAGCATTCAATATCCGCAGCCTCTTAGACGTTTCAACAAATTTAGCCGTTATTCGGGATGGCATTGTCTGAGTATTTCCATCTTCTTTTTCATCTTCATAGATTCCACCCATCACGTTCCTACTTCCCTTCAAGTTCTTAAATGTAAAGTGCATTCCATATGATGCTGCCCGCAATAGGCGTTTCTGAGTTGCTATGTCAAATTCCCTCGCAGCAGCATCCGTGCATCCCTCGATGGCTTCCGCTAGCATGCCTGTTTTTGTGATTGCACGGGCAGCCTCGTCCGAAGATATTGATCCGTTATCAAAGGCATCAGATGCATCCAAAAGCATGGCAGCTGGTTCGATAGATCCAATTCGCAGCAGCAGAGCGGTAGCTGGTGGGACTCTTTGTAGTAGTTCAACGGAAGCATCTGATACCACACGACAACAGTCTATCTCTGGAATCAAATACAAATTTCCGTGGTTCTCGTAGGGAAATCGCAACCAATCTCCGTAGGGACCAACCATTAAGATGCCTAAATTCTTCCAGTGAAGTACTACGCTATCTTCCCCGCACCATCTAATTTCTAGAGGAGGTTGAGTAGAACCTTCAGAGGTGTCAAAATCTAACACTTTTGTTTCGAACGTAGACGAGATAACCGTCAACATAGAAGATTCTGTAAAGCATGCCAAAAAACGACCATTGGGAGCAAAAGTCATTTCTACGATTGGAGAAGCAATTCGCTCTCGACAATCGAKGTCCTTCATTTCCGTCGTGGCAGTATTGACCACAACGACTGAGTTATCATTCGTGGAAAGGAATACCTCGGGATGACGCGAAGCAGTTTTCGTGCGGGAAAGAACCGCAATCGCAGCATAACTTAAAAAGTTGGAGCTGGCAAACGTTGCGGTGGGCAAAAATGTTATCAGCCCACAAAACGGTGGCATAGAATCATTGAACCCTATACCTCCTATGTCTGTCGAAATATAAGATGGCGGCAAAATCTTTCGCGCCCCCAGGTGGGCCGTATTCAAGTACATCGGATCATCGTGCTCATCTAGAAATTCTACAATGGCTGAATGTTTGGACGTCGAAAGAACAGCCTATAATGGACAAGATTCAGTGAGATATGACGTCAATGAGCAGGGTTGGCTCTATCTGCTGGATCTGTAAAACAACCCAACATCAAAACAAAAAATAATCAAATGATCGAAATTATTCGACCGAGCGGAACAAAGATAGAAAAGCTTACCGCACCACCTTCAAAAATACAAGCTTGGAACAGATCAGTCCCTTGACCTTCTCCGCGGGGTAATATGAAGAAGGGCGGCAAGAGAGCTCCGCCTGATAAATCATACGTCAAGCAGAGCGAGTCTTTCAGCACGACAACAAGCACGGTTCGATCTATAAATCCGATTTCCATGATATCTGAAGGCGCGTATTTTCTTTCGAGCTCGGGAATAGGAAATTCGACGGTAGCCAACGGATTTCCCGAATTTGTTAATATCCTAATTTCTGTGTGACTGAACCACGATGTTTCGCCCACAATAGGTAGCGTAACGGCTGCTATTGGGCCTCCATATTGGCACCCCACAACCTTCGTAACTGTGGTTCGATTCAATAACTCCTGCAGTTCGCGTGCATCCAACAAATCTGGGTGACGTTGCAAAGCTGCTTTGGGAAAAGCCGATAAGCCATAGTTTAAACTTTCCGAACTTGATCCATTTTTGTCCGGCTTTCCTCCCCAACGAACATTGGAATAAACAGGAACTCTGCGATATGGCAAATCGCCAAGATATTGCCACGATGCCTCAACCGGCGCCCCTAAATTTTCCTCTTCTTCTACTTCGAAGCTCTCGGCCTCCTCGTCTTCGCCAATATCATCGTCGTCGTCATCGTATCCAGAGTTAGGACCGAAAGGGTTGGTACCAGTTCTACCTGACGGTGCACCTCCACCCCCGATGTCGCTCGCATCATTGTCGAACGGATTCGTGCTCGCCGAAGTTACTGGGTCATCGTTATCCTCGAAGGGATTCGTTCCCTGCGCCATTGCCTTTTGCCTTTTGACCAAGTCTATTTGCAGTCGTGATTGCGTCCCTCGTTCAGAGACGCAACTTGGGTTGAAATCTTGACAGTTTTTGAATTTGATTGTCGTGTAAAAATGACCAGTTGCGGAATCTATCTTCAAAAATTTATGTACCTACCGTACGTACCGGGTACGGTACATGAGTTGTCTCTACTATTTTTTCACTACGGGTTACGTACTACGTGGGTACCATAATTAAATCTACCTGTAACGGTAGTATCATACTCCACCTAATACGGTGTGTTATTTCGCTTTGAGTACGAAAGTAGTAGTAACTACTGTACCCAGTGCACGCGCGCGGGACCGAACAGAAAAATGAAAAATGCAGGTTATCCTTATGATTTTTGCTTGGTAATTTTAAATTCAGAAGAAAATGAAAGTAAACCTGTTGAAGAAGAAAGAACCCGGAGGTACGACAGGCGAACCATAACGGACATCGGCGAACCAGAATCTCTAAGTACAATATATGGATATTTGGTAAATAGGAGAGATAAAAGAATGAGCGAGAGGCATCAAAGAAATTAT